GGAATGCTAAACAATAACCAAGGAACAAAGGAGGGGAGGAAAGCCAGGCACAGCGATATGGACACGGCGACACGTGCCTGTAATGCCAGCACTTTGATCGCTGTGAGTTCAAAGTCATTCTAGTCTATGTAGCAAGATCCTGTCTCAAAAAAAAGATGTTACGTTTTGTCAAAACAACTGCTAAGCACGTGCTGTGAAGTGTCCACTGCCACCTTCACCCTTCATCAAGAGGGAAGGGAAGGACAGAGGAAGGGAGAGGAGAGAGAAAAAGGCAGCAGGCATCCATCCACAGACAGACTAGCCGAATCCATGGGCTGGAACAAGTGGGCACCTACCAGTCCAACCTTGCCTGCGCTTGCCCTGCCCCAGCCCCACACATACATGAGATCTTTTACCCCCTTTACCCCTTCTGCTTCCAAGAGCTCTATGCTTTTCCTCTTATTTACAGCTTCAAAGTCATTGCTCTGAAGCCAGAATACAATAAAGAAGGCCCATTACTCGAGGGTTCTTCTGCTCAGATGACCCATGTCCAGCTCTTCTACAGCCAAAGGGTCTCATCAGATTCCAGGATACCACACTGGTGCCGACTCACCTGGCCCTTGATCAAAGGCAGGGGTTCACTCGTTCCACTGACAAGAGTCCTCACTGCAGGAGACTTACTAGAAGGCAAGCAGCTGGACTCGCGGGCCAGCCACCCGGGCTAAGTCCCAGCTCTGCCACATACCAGCAGCAGGATTTTGCACAAATCATTAACCAAATGGAGCCTTAGCTTCCTTGTTTATACAATGGTGATGATAACGATGCTCATAATAATACCCACTCTGGTATTATTAAAGAAAGGAAAAGAAAGTGCTGTTCTATTAACACAAAATAAGTGAGCCAGCAGAGAGCAAGCCTGCGTTCCTGGCACTGTCCTGTTTGAAGCTGATGGGGCATTAGCCTCAGTCTGAATTCTAAGATTGACAGTGCATGCATCTACCTCAGAGGATGGAAGGAGACAGGCCAAACCAGAATGAAATTTGCAGGCCTTCTTCTGATATTTAAGGTCCCTGCCTTCCAAGAATGATGTGGGCATCATTCTCCAGGTCATTCACTTAAAAAAAAAAAAAGTCTATAATCTAAGCGCCACATACCGCATACAGCCCAGTTCTCCCATCTGGCCAGCCTGGTCTTCCTCTACCCAGCTTCTACCCAACTGTCAGGACAGAGCTTGAGGCTGAGCATCCACGAGGCCTTCTCTGGTGCCCAAGCCCTCAAGAGCTTCCACTCCTGAACTCCTCCCAGCTCTTTCGGGGCTTTTGCTATAATTATGTTTTATAAAACTAGGTGAAGACGCAGACATGATATCCTGTCCAAACACTATTAGTACAAATCTTTCTTTATATATCCATCCTATTTTATATATACAGATACAAAATGGTCCTTCATTTATATCCCCTTTTTATGTTTAGTTTTGTCAGAGATGGGTACTCCATTACCATTTAAATATTGTAGGTGCCTGAATTCAGCAAAATAATCCAATACAGTCCAGTAGTCCATAATAGTGATGGGTTATCCACAGGACTGGCAATGTCAGAAATTGTTGACTTAAACCTTTTATAGCTCAGCATATTAATATAGCTTTACTTTTTATACCTCATTTTTATACTTTTCTGCTGGATGGTTAAGACCAAGATAAAGCAAGACTATATAACAAGAAATGTAACTTCTGAATCTGATAAGGTCAGGCAAATCCTCTCAGGATTTACCCTGAAATCCTGTACCAAAGTTTGTAGACTACTGCAGAGCCAACAGTGTGCAATGCATTAATTGTTGTGACTGTCTTACTAGCCTATTTTGAAACTGTCTCACTGCTATTTGTTTCTCAATAAAATTAATAAAAAAAAATGAAACTTAAAACTAGGTGAAATATGACTAACTGAAAAGAAGGGGGAATCTTACACCTCTCTGTATATCACCAAGGGACTAGTCCTGGGCTTGCACTAACAGGGACTCCGAGAATAAGTCATTTATATCGCAAAATGGCTTGATGGCTCAAGGCAAATACAAGCTCATTCTTTCAAAACACCTTCAGATCAATAATAACTCAGAGCACAGAAGTTTAAAGACTTAATCTCCAGACCTAGCCTAAGTAGGTTTATGGTTAAACCTATCACTAATTAGCTATGTGACCTTCAAGGGAGTTACTCAACTTCCATGCTTCAGTTTCTTCCTCTGTGAACTAAGGATAACCAAAGGGTCTGTAATAGTTAGTTATAGCAGTCAGGAGGATGAGAGAAGATAATACACATGAAGTACTCTGGGTGCAGCCAGGCCCAGAGTAATCACCTATAATCATTCAACATTTATTATTATTATCATCATCATCATCATCAGTGTTATCATTAATATTATCACTAACTTCTTGAAGTTCAACTCATCCAAAATGTCCCAGAAAGCATTTGGTAAAGTATACCGCGCCTAAGTAGAAAGGTGCTGGGCATCAGCACACATAAGGCATGTTTCCCTCTTTCTTCATCCTTTTGGCCCATTAGGTTCTGCAAAGCAGTAACACATTTCTACACTAAAAGACCCCCCCACCTCTGTGCTACTTCTCAGTTGCCTTGTGCTCTCATAACATCTGCAGTTCTACCATCCCTTCCACCTCTGCAAAGCTTCAAGTGTGTAAGCAATGCAAATATATTTTCCCAGGCTGGCAGTGCAGCTCAATGGTAGAATACCTGCCCAACATGAGCAAAGCCCTGGGTTTAAGTGCTAGTACCACAAAAAAATAAAAATACTCTCCTAATGGCTTGAAAAAGGAAGGAGGTTCTTAAGCAACATTGATTCCGAGGGCCAGCCAGATAGCTCAATGGACTAAAGCACCTGCTTAGGCAGATGCAGGGACCAAGGTTTGATTCCCGGCACCACATGCCATACCAGCACCACCCCTGGCTGTGCTGAGACTGAGACTGAGAGTGGGGGTGGTGGTGCGCACCTGTAATCTCAGTGCTTGGGAGGCTGAAAACAGAAGGATCACTATGAGTCCAATCTGTGTAGACCCTGTACTAAAAAAGAAAAGGAAACTGATTTAGCCCAGAGATATAGCTCAGTGGCACAGCACCTACCTGGTAAGTGCAAAGTCCTGAGTTCAATTACTGGTACCAAAGAAAATGATTCAGTACCAAAAGCATCAGTACCTTGTGTGGTGGCACACATCTGTAATCACAGCACTTTGGGCGGCTGAGGTAGGAGGATCCCCAGTCAAACCCAGTCACTATTCAACTTAGTGACTTAACAAGACCCTGTCTCAAAATAGAAAATAACGGGGTAAGTCTCAGTATAAAAGCTCATGGCTCCATCCCCAGTAAGCCACCCCCCAAATCAGAGCCACAGGGAGCCATCAACCTCCCCACACTCCCACAAGGTACCTTTGTCAGTGTTTTTCGGTCTGACCCAGGCATGAAGCAAAACAGAAAGCCTTGTCTGAGCCCACGAGGAGTGATTTTACGTGTCATGATCACACAGCAGGTTTTCCATCGAGTGGTTTCCCTTTTCCTCTCTCTCTCTCTACCCCCTCTACTATTTTTCAATGAAATTTTAATTAAGATCAGTTTTAATACACAGCCTAAATGGCAAAGAACTCCTCAATAAATGAGACAAAGTGAAACTGCTGACAGACAGTAACAGAGAATGGACCATTCAGATTAAGACAGTGGCATTCAAAAAAATAGAGCAGCTTTCTTTCCAGGTATCTATGATGCGAGGGGCGTTCTGCTTTCCAGTCTCAGAAGCTAAGTTCCACCAGCTCGAGCTGAGCCGGGCTTTATCTGCACCCCTGGGAGCCTCTTGCTGAGGTGGTTTCTTCAGGGCAGCACACAGGTTAAGAGCACAGACCTAGAATTTGGACATCAACTCTGGCCCTCCACTTCCCAGCAACAGCATTGTACGACTTACCTAATCTCTCCACCTCTCATCCCCCAGAAAACAGAAAAAATAACTGCCTAACTCAGAGTTGGGATAAAGTGAACTCAACAAATAAGAATAGCCTCACTCGCTTTAAGCCCAGTGGCTGCCACAGGAAACACTAGCGAATGATAACTACTTTACTTTCACCTGTACGTGCAGCTAACAACCAAAACCAAGAGGCTAATCATTTGCTAGGTTAATGATTTCTTGTTCAGACCCACCAGTTCCCAGAATGGATCCTACAAATTAGTTTTGTAGAGCTCATTACAGAATAGACGCAAAGCAAACTGTAACAAAATAGAGCAAATTAATCTTCAAGTATATTAAGTAATCCTAACGTGAACACCAAGATGTCTGCAAGGGAGATCTGGTTCTCTCCCTAAGAGACACCACTCCGACCACTGCCACCTCTCAGCTCCAACCTCAGAGTCCCTTGGTCTCTAGGAAACACAAGAAAGCCTTTTACTACTTTCTTGGTTTTTTGCTTTTCTGTGTGTGTGATGCTAACAATTAAACCTAGCGCCTTACACATGCTAGGAATGACTACCACTCAGCTACATACCCAGACCTTTTCTCTACTTTTTAAAAAAGTTATATATTAAGTATCTTAAATAGACAAAATTAAACAGCTCCCAAGCAGCCCATCCTCTGAGTGCCACTTCTGTATAGGTCTATTTACTCTGAAATAAAGAAGAAAAAAAAAAGACACTTTCTTGAAATTCTTTTTTTTTTTTTTGAGTAAAAATGCAAGAATAATCCATGCATACAATAAAACTAAGTAGGATTAATCATTAGCATATTCATTCTCTACCTCCCTTAATACAGATTGTGTCACTGTGTCACAGACATTAGAATGCCTAGCACAAGCCTACTAAAATATAATGAAGGCAAACATATCATATATCTGTATAGTAGTCAAATATTTTATTTATCCTAAGAATGCAAGTATTTGGGTTTTACATCAAATGGTCTAATCCTTCTAAGCTAAAGAAAAAGAGGAAAATGTATTGAAAAGAATGTCATGAATACGCAAGCTGTATTAGGCAACTTACCTGCAGTGGCTAAACAAGCGCTCATCAGGGCAAACACAGCAGTCACACAAGGGGACGTCATTTTTCTTTCTGCAACAGCCAATAGCTCAGATCACAGACAATCTTTGAAAATTAGAAGTGGCCTGAAAATCCCTCTTGGCAATTTTCAAATTTCCTATAAAAATAAACAAATTTCAGAATGAAAACATAGTACAGAAACTTCTTTTCATAAATACATGTTAAAGTTAAATGGAGAATTTCTTAAAAGTATAAGAGAAGAAATTTGTCTTGAAAGCCATGCCAAGATACTTCTCAACCAAACTAGGGAGAGGGTGGGGCTGGTAATTCTCTAATAAAGATTTCTACAGCAAATATTTTTGCTTATATGTGACATTGAAATCCTTAGACTGTGGAGGTTTTGGAGTTCTGGCTTTGTGATGTATTTTGTTTAATTTCATTTTTGAGACCGGACTCATTATGTTGCCCCAGTGGTTTCAAACTCCTGGGCTCATGCAATCTTCCTGTCTCAATCTCTGGAACAGCGGGGCCTATGAGCCCACAACCCCAAACCTGATCGAAGTCTTTGGTTTTATAGAGTTTTCAGGGCCAGAGAATAAAATCAAAGTGCACCTGTAACCTCTCCAGCGATACTGTGGTACTAAAGTAATCAATAACACTCCAAATACACATTCCTTAGTACCAGTAAGCAAACAGAATAGCTCTGATTAGAGATTCATTGTAATGTCATAATGACAGGGTTATCACAGTGATGAAATTAAATTACATTGAGAATCAATCTAAAAAAAAAAAACAAAGAATTATAAAAAAAGGAAAAGCTTTTATTTCAACTACTGGCTGACATTTTGACAAGGGAAGTTTCAGTCTTTCTCAGCCCCATCTGAGACTCTCCTGATTACGACAGTAGATTATCTAAAAGGCCTTTCTAAACTTTTCCTACCCAGAGCCTTGAATGACAGTTTGGTGGTGGTGGTGGTCTGCTTAACTTGAATATTCTTCCCACAGTCCTAACAGCTGCTCTACGGAAACATTCCAAAGTATATTTTGCAGCCCTACAACCCTGAGACCAGCACAACCAACAGAAGTTGTTCAATTCAACAAATATTTAGGGAGCACTTAGTATGTTGCAGGTGTGGCTACCTCTCACCAGCAATAAAGGCTATCCAACAAATAGTTAAACAGTGCAAAGACTCCGCCTGTCTAAGCCCTGGACAAAGCAAGATAGTGGAATTTCTGGGAACCTGAATGAATTGATATGGACAAGGCTGCTTAAAGGAAAATGCTAGTTCAGCAAATGTGAAGAGCAATTTATTGTAAAGCAAATCCCTATAAGGAGATCTCCAGAGAAGATGGCTTCCTAGAGTATTTTTATGAGGCACGTAAACCATAGGCAGCATGAGGCTTGTGGGAATGTTTAATGAGTTTGTGTCACCCCTGCCCACAGAAGGGGCTGAGGGTCTAGGGGCTGCACTGCATTAACCCAGGGGCTTAAGCCAGGTCTGAACAAACCTGTGGAAAGAAAGGCAAATGGTTCCATTAAAAAATATAGACTGCAAATTGCTGACAAGAATATTGGGCAATTATTAAAATACAGCAATTACAGATATAATAGAGCCAAGCTAAACAGTTTGATGCCCAAAGGCAAACCACAGCAAGTTTACACCGGATCTTAAAACATCTCTGAGGAAGTCCAAGACAAGTTGAAACTACACACTGCTGTTTCTAACAAAGAGGGAGCTTTTCTTCTTTTAGCTTAAAAGTCCTTCCCTAGTGTAACTTGTTCAAAAAAGAAAATAAACTGCAGAGGGTTTTTATCTAATGTTCCTAGTGTGGTGACAGGATCGGAAAGCAGAGAATATAAAGGGAAGCATGTGGTTCCCACTGGGCTTAACTCCAGTTCGGGCCAAGACCTGGACACGGCCGTGCTTTCACACACAACTCACAGGTTTGGTTCCCTATTTAACAGAATGCTGGATGGCATCAGGCTTCCAAAAAGTTGTAGATTTGAAATAAGCCCAGGGAGACACAAACTCTTCTGTCCTATGAGGTTTGATCACACTCACTTTGCATAGACTAAGGTCTCCTGGCCTTGGCTTTTTGACCTCACTGTCTTTGGACTTTGTGAACTAAGTGCTTCCTTTTGAAATATAAGCAGGTCTTGAAAGCACAATTTTGGGTCTACAAATTTCAAGGCAATGTGTTCCATTCAAAGCACATGAAATACTGAGTATCCACAAGTTAAGAGAAGAAAATACTCAGACAGAGATATTCATGGATAATGAAGAAGAATGTGGTAGTAATTCTGCCACTTTCAGAGTTGGCCTGGGTTTACTTCTGAGGCCTTCAGATGGAACATGCTGCCCTGCATTCCTTGGTGACCCAACAAGCACATGGGTGAAGACCAGGCTTAGCTAGAGAAACCTTACGCACACGGATCTTAATACTATCGCGGGGTTAAAGCAATGTCCAGGAGGAATTAGGGACAATATTCTGTGGATTGAGCTTTTTTTTTTTTTAAAGAGTAAATCTTGCTCTATCTGAGAAGAAAATTATGGCAAAATGGATGTCTGACACTGGGCTAAGAGGCACATTCTCGCCCCTTAACAGTTACTCTCCAAAAACAGAACTTGTTTTCTAAGAGAGGGGCAGATCCTGTAGTAGCTTCTGTCAAACACTGCTTGGTCACTACAAAAATCATTACTGGTCATAACTGCCACTTGACTGCAGGGCTATGGGTGACAGCCATACAAAATAAACAATCCTTGGTCGTGCTAAATGCAACGTTCTTTAAAACTGCAAAGGGCAAAACAAAGCACAAACCTGTCCAAGACTGACATGGTTTTGCCACCAACTGGAGAGGAAAAATAGGGATTCAACAAATCTGAGGATGTCAAGGACAGAGATATTGAATGAGTTTTTAAAATTACCATCACCTAAATTCAAATATTAAGTAACACCTGAGCTTCTGGTGGCTTGAATGTAAAATGGTTTCTGACATCATTAAAATACTTCCAGTGTGTCATGTACATTTTTTAGAGAAATGCAGTTGAGTCTGCAAATGATGAAGTAAATGTTGGTAAAAGAATAGCTCTGATGATCATCCAACATGTTATTCAGTGGATTCAAAACAGAGGCAGCCCAGATATATCAGTAACTATAAAAAGGGGTGCATGGGATGTAGAGCAGGTATTGTCTGATGATATTTGGATGCATGTTAAGATTGGTACACAAGAAAGAAAGGCCACCTTTACTAAGTCACAGCAGCAACTTTCAGATTTCTCTACCACACAGGGAAAGGGGATAATTCCCAATCTCCATGTTCAGACAGATTTGGCACATAGAAAGAAAAAGTCCTGGATTTGGCTGAGAAATCCCTGGAATCATATCTAAGCACAACAGATACCCAACAAATATTTACTACTATTCTGTGCCAGACACTGATCAGGACACCAAGCAGATAGCAATGAAAAAAAAAAAAAAAACAAATCCCTGCCCTTGTACAGTTTATATTCTAGTCAAAGTAGTATCCATTACCATTTTAGGTGAGATGTTTAATTTCCTATGCTTCATTTCTCTTTTGACAAGTCTTTAGTTATTGCTTCCTCTGTGCCAGGCAATGGGGATATAGTGGCCAAGCAAAGAGCCATGTCCCTTATGGGCTTAGTGTCTAGCAAAATAAGCTCACAGTAACAAATATGTAACAATACAGTGTGATAAGAGCTGTAAAGGAAGTTCACCTACAGGATGAAAGTCACTTATAGCTCAGTAGAATACGTGCTTGCCTGGCAAGCGCAAGGGCCTGCGTTCAAATCCCTGGTTCCGCAAAAACAAAAAAAAGACACTTAGAGGACAAGCACACTGGGAGTCCCCAACTGAACAAGGTGACATGGCAGAGAGCAAGGCAAGAGCAAGGTTCACAGGCCACGATCAGAGTGGCTTTGAAGTACCTCCCTAGATGCTGCATGAAGGACCAGCGGAGACAGAAGGGAGGCCAGAGTATTTGAGAAAAGATCAATGGAGGTTTGATCTGGGGCACAGACAAGAAAGGATGAATGTGAGGTCAGAAAGGAACCTCAGTTTCTTTCTTTGTAAGAGCCAACAATAAACTATACTTCCTAAGTCACCAAGTTGTTGTGAGAGTTAAATGAGATTATGCATGTATGGTATAAAAGCTATCATTATTTATCATTAGCAGGTTATATTTGCCAGAAATATTTATTATCCTGAGGTCTAGGACTAATTGCAGTCTCAGCATGCTGTGGGTGCCAGTGGAAGAATTGAAAAGCAGAAGGTTGTTCCTGAATTCCTATGCTGGTGGGCAGGAATTCCATGAAGACCAGTCGGAAGAGGCAGGAGACATAGAGGGCAGGAGTTCGGTAGAGGCTGTGCCCAATCTCCTGGGCTCCCACCTGACACTTTCAGGGAAGGGGCTGCCCCTCCTGGCCCTCAGCGCTCACTTCCAGGTGACAGCACCAACATCTGGCCCCAGCACCCTTGCTTTCCTTGGGGTAGAACCTCAGTGGGTCTTTAAAGGCCCAGACACAACAGCCTAAACCCCAAGCAAAACACATCAAAATGGAAAGGCAAGGTTGTGAAAGACATGTTTCACTTAAATTCATAAATGGCCTTTTTCTCACATTGAAGATTTTTGCATCCAAATATATCTGATGCTTATCATTATGGGAGTCTACTCTTTTAAAATAGAATCAGGGGAGCACTGAATTTGGGAGTTTATCTCCCAACATACCCAGCTGCGCTGCACTAAACCAGTCACTTAACCTCCACCACTGTCTCACCTATAAAATGGTAACACTTTGCAATATTTGGGGCAGAATATAGGCTTGTTACCTAAAGTAATACCTGCACCCTGCCTCACTGTGTGTGTGTGTGTGTGTGTGTGTGTGTGTGTGTGTGTGTGTGCTGGGACTAAAGCCAGGACTGCACCTAGGTAAGCACCCTACCACCAAGCTACCCCTCCCCACAGCTCCATGGTCCACTTTAAATCAATAACTGTCACTGTTGTTTTTATGATCAAAAACACACCCAACACTTTTTTTAAAAAAACAAATAGTGGCAATATAAATGGTAGATTGTAGCAGTTTTGTATTAATTTTGAGATATTTACCCAGAATTTTAAAACTTCTCTCAATAATCAAA